TTCGGCTAATTTTGCGTTATACAATGAAAGAAATGCAAGTTTATAGCAAAATACTTTTGCAAACTTGTTTTGTTGATATTGTTGGGATTTGTGTGTTTGTTGTTTCTCAACCGGTAAATGGATAAATATTTGGGCGTGGAAAGGTTAACCGTGTAAATTAGGTACTTGTGAGTTATTCCTGACCAGTTTTTGCGAACAGTTTTTGCGGATTTATTTAGTGTACAGAATGGTCAGACTTTCTTCCTTCCTCAAAATCACTATTTCCCTGCGGCATTATTCAATGAAATCATTTCAAATATAATTAAAGCATAATTTTTTATTAAGGCTTTTATTTCCGATAATGGCACAGGTATAGTTTGGGATTACGGACTTATACATTACTTGCCAAATCCATGGCAATCTATTATTCTCCGTATCAATTTTTTCATGGGAAGAGTTACTACATCGAATGTCTCGACATTGTTCGTTTATCGTTATTTTGCAGTTGTACGGTAAATACGGGAAAATTTAGAAATAGCTTAATGTTCATCTTTATAGAAAAGTTGATATTAAATTTAAACACCAATTAATCTTAATTTTTGGGATGATAATTCCATTGCTGATATTAAGTATTTTGTCTTATATTGCATACTATCCAACCCCAGAAAAGGAACATTTGACCAATTATGAAGTGGCAAAAATACTAGAATTGGATAACTATACAATTAAAAATTATGTTATTGGACTTAGAACTGGAGTAAGTTAAAGAAAATATTTTTTTAGAATTTTTTACATGTATGTATTATTCCGATTTTATAATGTTGTACCCAAGACCGATAAATGTCCAGCTCGTCCTCAACATGTCAGCAAATGACTTTCTACAAAAAAGCATTTTTGCTGCATTTTCATTCTCCTTTCCTCTTTCTACCATAATTTTCCTTAGATAATCAACTGTAAGTTGACAGTTTGGCGCGAATAAGAAAGGAGGCCTGGATTTTGGAATATCATGCTATAGGGATAAGGAATGGAAGAAAAATAATCGAAGAGGGTTATAATCTTACTCCAAACTTTGATAGGGATTTTGATTAGTTATTGAAGAAAAGTGAATGTCTATTTTGTTAAATTTCATGTTTGGCAAGGATTTATTGTGAACGTTGAGAAATATTTTTTCCCGAATTTTTATAAAATTTTTAGACCGACGATCTATCAAATTTTACTGGAAATTTTGCTTCAGCATTAAATATAATTAATTATATAATTATCATTTTTTGTGGTGTAAGTATTCAAATACATGTTTATCGTCATTGTAAAGGTGTAGAAATGACTCGATTACGTAATATGAATAAACAATTAAGTATTGTTTTGGTGGCACAGGTATTTTTGGAATGATTTTTGAAACGGAGGAAATTCTCAAAATAATTTCAGCGCCGAAGGCGAAATTTTTGATAAATTTGGAAGATCCTTTAACCAAAAATCTTTTTCTACGCCGCAGATAGAGGCATAAAAATAAACGGTTTTATCAAAGTCAGCCGAGTACGAAGTTTCCGAGTACGAGTAATGCCGTGTATTAAGATCCCGAGTTCAGAGCCCAAGTAAAGGCGAAATAAGACCCGAGCGATCGAGTCGAGTAACTCGAACTCGCTCGAACTCGGACGTACTCTAGTTTAAATGACCAAAAATAAATAGCCTTAAGTACCAGACAGACTAAATAAATAACAATAGATAACAATTTAATTAAAGGCTATTCTCCCTTTAATGACAAATCTCACCAATTTATTTGGGAACTTAACTTTTTTATTTAATTTGCCTGGCCTATATTCATCATCAATTACAATATTTTTTAGCTCCAGTTTGGCATCTTTAGTTGCTTTTTTAAATCCTATTGTGAGTTTTTTTGTATTTTTAATTTTTTAATTTTAAAAAGGTAACAATTCTGAGCGTCAAAAATTACAGACAAATAGTCTTCCGATGCAAAAATGATTTAAATGTTACTCAAGTTGTTCCGATGCCGCAGAATTCAATAGCAAATAGAAATTTAGTACATTCTATTTAAAAATTCTGATTTTTTATTTGATAATATAAACTGTATTCGGAGTTTTATGACCATTGTTCAGAACAGAGATTACGTTTAAAATTAGAAGCTCTCTCTAAAAAGATTTAATGGCAACTAGCTCATAAAATTAATTTTGAACTTTTAATCTAGAAATTTAATTACACAAAAATATGTTAAAAATTTTTATGACAAAAAAAATACAATTTTAGTAATATATTTTGAAAGTTTAATTTTAATGAAAACAAAAAATCTTGTAAAAATATGCAACCAATGAAAAATAAAATAATTTAAAAATAAAATCAACTGTGTAAGAAAAGAAATTAATTTTTAAAAATTTTTACAAATTTTGAACGACTTAGAAAGCATTAAAAATTTAAATAAAAGCCAAAATTTGTCGAAAAATCCTAAAAATTTTTACAAGGCCATAAACATCAAAAATCAACAATTTTTTCTTATTTTTAAAAAATAAGAAAAAACTAAAAAAATTTTTAAAAACCCATAAATTTTTCTCCTTATACATAGTTTCAACTCATAATTGAATTTCACCTCCATTAAGATAAACAAGAACATTATCTATGCTTGGCGTGTTTCTAGCGCGCTTGCAAGCCTTAAAATTATAAAGATCATACATACCTATATATATTAAATAATTCCAAATTAGTCACTATATTTTCAAAATACTTTTAAAATAGTATAAACTAGAAAGATGAATAAAACTAGTGTTGGTCAAACGCGATTTTGCGGTATCGGTATTTTCGGTAAAATACCGATACCGCAAAATACCGTGGTATTTTTGATTGAGGCGGTATCGGTATCGGTATTTTGGTAAAAATACCGCGGTAATACGATACCGCGACCAACTCTAAATAAAACATATATTTTCAACATAATTTAAACGGTGTCCATAATTGCCGCCACTGCGCAACTTAAGGTTTGTGATCATTGTGCCATACTGTCGAACATCAGTATTGATATTTACCTTAAAATGGGGGTGCATTTCTCCCAACGCAAAAAATGCAAGAAAAGGAAAGGAAAGAGCAGATTCTCTTTGCGGACAGGTAGACAGCCAACTGGACATTTGCCCATTCCCATTTTTCCACTCTTTTTTATAAAAAAAGAAGTCTGAAATTAAGTGACGGAGCTTATGGAGGGAGAACTACACACGAACCTCTTAATTTTATTTAAAAATTATTATTAAGAGCACTCAATTCAAGCTGTTTTTATTTACTTGGGTTAAATGCATTTTATGATATGATTGTTGCTTCCACTGGCATAATTGCCTCAATTTTGTATGCAATTTATGGAAAATTTAAATTAACAAGAAATGCATGTTTATGGTTTAATATTGTTCCATTAACCGCTTTTCATATGTCTTTTGTTTTTGTATTTTTTATTGCTTTTGATCGTCTACTTTCTGTATTTTTTCCTATTTGGTATTTTTTTCAATTCTTTCCTTTTATATTAGGGTGTAACATACGTTCCATAGGGGGTTTTATCTAGTGTTCGGCACGGTACGGTATACCGCGGTATTTTTCCCGGTATACCGCGGTATTTTTTTCCGGTATACCGATACCGATACCGTACCGGTCAAATTTTGAAAAAAACGGTATTTTTCGGTATCGGTATTTTTTCGGTATACCGATACGGTATTTTTATACGGTATTTTTTTCGGTATACGGATACCGAACCGGTCCTCGAAAAAATACCGCGGTATTTTCCGTATTTCGGTATTTGTGATGTCATTAAATATTTTTTTTAATTTTACAAAATGAAATGCATTTCTTTTTCTCTTGCAATAAACTAAACATAAATAATCTTTTTTTCAGAAAATCAATAAATTTGCTGCAAAATGAGTTTATTTTGGAATATTGGTCTGTTCACAAAATTGTCAAAAGAAGAAGCTGAGTGCAACGAATGTAAGAGAAAAATAAAAATGACTGGTGTCAGTACAAGTGGACTTAAAGTTCATCTTAATCAACATCCTGAATATAAAATTAAACTTGAAAATAAAGAAGCTAAAGAACCTAAACCATTAGAAAAATTTATAAATATAGGAGGCTCAGGTAATTATCTATTATATTATTTGGAATTTTTAAAATTAAGGTGATTTAACAGCGTTTGACAAACAAGTTGTTCATTATATTGTATGTACAAATTCTACATTTCATTCTATAAATCATCCTACATTCCATTCTTTATTTCTGTCAAATCACTCCTTGCAAAAATTAAAGGACGAAAAGCACTATAGAGAATGGGTATTACCAAGAATTTATGAACGAGTAAAAAAGGCAATAAGCGATTTAATTGACCAAACGGTCACGTCATCTTACGACGGTCACGTCATCTTACGAGATCATGCTAGCAACATGTGCAAAGTTTATTTCAGTTTTATTTATTAATCTGAAAAAATTAAGGCTTTTGAAGGTGAATATTCACATGCTGATTGTGGTTCTCATAGGTTGAACTTATGCGTTGATAAGCTTTTTTCTGAAAATATTTGTGAAGTATTAGCTAAATGTCGCGCAATTGTTGGACATTTTGCTCATTCAAATCTTGCCTATGATCGATTAGAAGAAGCTCAAGTCGTTGAGAATGTTCCTAAGCATAAGCTTGTGCAGGTATATTTTTTAATAGGAATGGTTAATTTTACAATAAATTTAGGACGTCCGTACACGTTGGAACTCAACCTTTCTCATGATTTCAAGAATTTTTGAACAAAAAAAGCTATTGAACTTTATGCATTACGCCATTGCCGAACAATGCAACTTTTATCAGATAGTGAATGGAAAATTGTAGAAAATTTAATACAATTACTTTCACCAATAGAACAAGCAACTAGGAAACTATGTGAGTCAAATTCACCTCTATCCACACAAATGGCAATAGCAAGTATTTTAAATAGTGAATTATCAGATCAGGTATTAACTTTTAATTTCAAATTAATAATAAAATTATAGTCTTATCCAAATATTGAAAATGAACGCTTAAAATTAATTAATGAGCTTCGTGTTAGATTTTTTGGGCAAGAAAACAATAGGTAAAATTTTTAAATGTATCTTTTTATTTTTATTTTTAAGAGTTTATGCAATTGGACATTATTTAGACCCCAGATTCAAAGATCAATTTGTTTCTAATAGAATAGAATTTACAGCAAAAATCGAAACATGGATTAAATCTGAAGTTAATTTAGATGAATCAAGTGATCCAGCAATACAAATTGAAGCTGTTGAACAAGGTGAGAAATTAAAATACAAATAAAGAACCAGCTTTAAGAACCTGTTGAACCTCCATCAAAAAGTAAAAAAATTGATTTTTTTGCCTCTCGCTCTCAAAAGTATAACCGGCCTAAAACTCCTGTTGAATCAACGTCGTCACATCAGCCAGAAAGCATTGAACTGGAATTAGCACTTTACAGGTCTTATACTTTATGATTTATTAAATAAAGATAAGATCAATAGGAGAATGCCTCTACAACCTCTTGATAGTGATCCATTATTATTTTGGAAAGAAGCTGAAAAACAATTCCCTATATTAACTCCTATAGTTCGTCGGTATCTTTCCAGTCCATCTACATCAGTGGCTAGTGAGGAGTTGTTTTCAGTCGCGAATGATGTTTTTGATTACAGACGTTCACGTTTGAATCCTGATACAGCAGAAAAAATCGTTTTTTTAAATAAAACTTTACCATTTTTAAATTACAAATATTAACATTATGTTCATTTTTCGAATTTTATTGTTAAGATTTCAAAAATAAAATTAAAAAAAATTTTATTAAATTTTTAAAAAATACCGAATACCGGCCGGTATACCGAAAATGTTGAGACGGTATTTTCCGGTATCGGTATTTTTCCGGTATACCGATACCGTACCGGTCAATTTTTGTAAAAAACGGTATTTTTCGGTATCGGTATTTTTTCGGTATACCGATACCGAATACCGGAAAAGGTCATTTGCCGAACACTAGTTTTATCAATGTCGCTTAATGGATATACTGTGGAACAGATACGCCTGTGGAACAGAGGTGGGTCGGAACAGTCAGAGGTGTCCGGAAATCGGAAAATCCGGAAATCGGAATTGGCTCAAAAGTCGGAACTCGGAAATCAATTTTTTACGAAACTCGGAAGGAAAAAACGCCGGAATTCGCAAATCGGAATTCCGACCTACCTCTGGTGTAGAACGAGATATAGATCCCCGAAAATCGAATAACCATAGGAGAAGTAATAAAATGCTAGCATTTCGTGGGGCCTTAAAACCGGCTAATGTGGATCCTCATTTTTTAATTTAAAAACCTACAGGATGTTCTGTGCCATTTGGATTCCACGCTGGTGAACTCATTTATCTTTGTTTAGTTTTTAATTTTAGAGTATCTATTTTTAATTTTTCAAGTTTACTTTATGGTTGATTTTTAGATTACGGTATGTGACATTATACTATAGGGTGACTAAAAAGTGACCGGGCACGCGTCTTTCTTCAAATTAAAGATAATGGGATCAAATAAGGCTTAAATCATGGAGATGAAATGGAAGAGCATTATTGTAGCTGCGGGTAAAATGTTAACCCTTATCCTTAAAAATCCTTAATTGAGGAAAGTTTAAATTAATTTTTTTAATTTTTAATTTTACTTTTTAAAAATAATTTTATTTAATTATACGTATTTAGAATTTAATTTAAATTTTTAAAAATAATTTTATTTAATTATATATATTTAGAAATTGTAAATAAAAATTTTTTAAATTTTTAAGAGTAGCGAGGGGAGAAGATTGCGAGAGGGGAGAAGATGGCGCCGAATAACGAAAAATGCCAGCACAAAAATTTTAAATTTAGAGGGGGAATGTAAGAGAGGCAAGATTTTTAATTCTTTAAATTGATTGGCCGTTCCTCGTGTAAATTTAAAATAAATTTAAATTTAATTTTTTAAAAACTTTATTTTTAAAAACATTTCCAAACTCTAAAAGTTTTTTACAAGCTAGAAATTTTAGATCTTTAGGCTCATCTGAAAGTAATTAAAATTTGCTACAGTATACACTTAACACAATTTTCGAAAAAAAATCCTCTGAAGATAAATAGATAACATACTTTAAAATAGGGTAACACCCCGAGCCTTCTGGGTCGGGAGTGTTGGGAAACAGGGTTTGCCGAAAAAAGCATGTCGCGGTTCGGGATGAGGGTTGCTTTTGGGCCGGGTCGCGATTTGTTGGGGTAAAGGTAAAGATTTGTTGGGGTTTTTGCCAAAAAAATCGTAGGGGTCAGAGTACGGGGTTTGTGTTCTGGGGTGAGCGCGAGAGACAATCTCAAAAGACGCAAGTCGCAACACAAAATTCAACGCAAATAACGCAAGATAAGGATGGACAGGATATGTTGCTACAAATCCGCGGATATCCATCCATAATTTCTGCGATTTAACAGCACTAATTAATAACAACACTAAAATCTCCGCTGCGTAAAAAGTGAATTTTTTGGACTATTGCCTTCCAAATTTCTCAAAATTTTCGATTGCAGCCAGGGCGGTATATATTTTTAAATGGATCTCTGATAGCCATTGAGCAAGGCGTTATAAAAGATAAAAATTATTTTTATTTTTTTGAATTTATTTTTTACTGGACGTATAAAAATTTATTTGGACGCATAAACTTTAATTGGACGTATAAAAATTTGATTGGACGCATAACTTTTTATTGGACGTATAAACTTTGATTGAACGTATAAGAGTTGATTGGACGCATAATAGTTGATTGGACGTATGTGTATTGTGTAATGGCGCCAAATTTTCTTCCCATTTTTGCGTTCTTGCGTTAGTTGCGTTGAATTTTGTGTTGCGACTTGCGTCTTTTGAGATTGTCTCTCGCGCTCACCCCCGAACACAAACCCCGTACTCTGACCCCTACGATTTTTTTGGCAAAAACCCCAACAAATCTTTACCTTTACCCCAACAAATCGCGACCCGGCCCAAAAGCAACCCTCATCCCGAACCGCGACATGCTTTTTTCGGCAAACCCTGTTTCCCAACACTCCCGACCCAGAAGGCTCGGGGTGTTACCCTATTTTAAAGTATGTTATCTATTTATCTTCAGAGGATTTTTTTTCGAAAATTGTGTTAAGTGTATACTGTAGCAAATTTTAATTACTTTCAGATGAGCCTAAAGATCTAAAATTTCTAGCTTGTAAAAAACTTTTAGAGTTTGGAAATGTTTTTAAAAATAAAGTTTTTAAAAAATTAAATTTAAATTTATTTTAAATTTACACGAGGAACGGCCAATCAATTTAAAGAATTAAAAATCTTGCCTCTCTTACATTCCCCCTCTAAATTTAAAATTTTTGTGCTGGCATTTTTCGTTATTCGGCGCCATCTTCTCCCCTCTCGCAATCTTCTCCCCTCGCTACTCTTAAAAATTTAAAAAATTTTTATTTACAATTTCTAAATATGTATAGTTAAATAAAATTATTTTTAAAAATTTAAATTAAAAATTAAAAAAAATTAATTTAAACTTTCCTCAATTAAGGATTTTTAAGGATAAGGGTTAACATTTTACCCGCAGCTACAATAATGCTCTTCCATTTCATCTCCTCCCTTTTTTCACAAGCACCTCCCTTTTCGGTGACCGGAAATTTCGGCACAAGAAAGTCGGGCTTTTTGGGATTTTGATCCCCAGCGGAGTTTTAGGCTTTACTTGAAAAAAGCGGAATATTTGGCTAATGAAGGTTTATGAGTCCTATAAAAATTTATGAAATAAAAAATAAAGAATCAAAGAAATAAAAAAAATTTTTTTTTATTTTTATGTTACCTTGATAATAAAAGCATAAAAAAGAAATTTTATTTCCATCATTTAGGATATAAAAATTAGAGTTGTACCCCGACCCCGTTCCCCGACCCCGTACCCCGACCCCGTTCCCGAACGATTTTTTCACGATTCTCCCCGACCCGAACCCCGCCCCGAAAAAAAGTGAAAACCCCGTTCCCCGGCCCAAAAATTTTCGGGGGTTTCGGGGTTTTATATACCCAAAAAATGCCAATTTTGGAAGAAATTAATGAAGAAAATTAAAAAAATTTCTCCCAATTTACTTTGCCTTTAATATTTTTGAAAGAAAAGTGAATAAAATATTATAATTCTCTTTCCTCTTCGTTAAGAGACTTGTGGTTGAGTGGCTTAGTTGTTGGTTTTAGTCTATATTTCCATTAATATGGGGGTGGGTTCGGATCCAAATAAGCAGAACGCGTTAGTTTTGTATTTTTCTTTAAAAAACAAGAGTTTAATTTTAATTTAAAATGTTAATCTTATTTTTAAATATTATCAACCATAAAAAACAATGCAAAGATTTTTTGTTTAGTGTTAAAATTTCAAAAATTTTCGTGTGCAGCGCTAAAAAACAAAGAAATCCGGCTTTATGACCTAAAAAATTTTCTAATTTTCGCCTGTGGCCTGAAAATGTAAGAAATCTATCTTACAGCCTTCCAAAATTCCCAAAATTTTCGCCTGCGGCGGTGAAAAAGGATATAGACGGAGTGATGAAGATTAAAAGGGATATCAAGAATCCCCTGATACGTCTATATCCACTTATATCACTCTCAATTCCTTCACATGCCTCTCTCATTATCCCTTAAAATTACTGATACAGTTAATCGCTCCAAGCCCCCTTAATCCCTCCAAATCCTCTTATATCCGCAGATATACACCTTAATGCCTTTAAATCCAATTTAATCCCTAAAAACCTCTTATATAATCTTTAATTCCTTCATGTCCCCCTTAATTTCTGAATAAATTAAGAAAATAGACCGAAAACGGCTTAATTTTGAGCATTTTTTCTTTAAAAAATTTTTCCAGGAAATCCCCGTACCCCGACCCGAACCCCGACCATATTTTGCTCCCCCGACCCGAACCCCGCCCCGAAACAATTCGAAAACCCCGTACCCCGACATACCCGCCCCCGAGCGTTCGGGGTACAACCCTAATAAAAATTAGAAAGATTACGGGATACAAGGGAATTTAGAGTGATTAAGAGGTTATGAAAGAATATAGGTGATATCGGGATAACAGACGCTTTCCCGCTATATCACACTTAATCCCTTTATATCTATCCCAAATCTCTCTATATCTTTCTTTATCCCAAAATCCTTCCAAATCCTCGATAACGACTAATCCCGAGATATCGCTTCCAATCGTCCAAATCACCTATGTATTATCCATTTATGCACCAAAATACCTCGTAACCTTTTTTAATCTCCACAAATCCGCCAGGTATCATCATTATCCTCTAAATCT